TTTCCCTCATTGGTCTCAGCTTTAGAGAGGATATCAACCCAAACACCAGGTTTTCCATTGTGATAGGTAGGTGTTGGTTTCTCCTGCCTTAAGTGGAGTTTGTCCTGCTCAGGATAGCTGGAATAGTTAGTTACAACCTTGCCTCAAAACAATGGCCTTGGCAATGAATGATATCGTCAGGCTTTATGGCTTCTTTATTTATGCCGTGTCTTTCTGCTAGTAGGCACCCATCGCTTTTTGAGAACCAAATTGGAGACAAATGTTTTTAAGAGCTGAAAGTGGTTTGACAAGGCTTTTACTTCCCATAATGTGTACATGTACTTTTGTCCTACTGTCACTTGCTCAGGTTTTTGGAACTTTAAAACAGTAGAAAAAATTGTGAAGCTTATTTTGCTAGAAAAAAAAGTTGGACAAGTAGCAATCCTGCTTTCATGCAGTCTTCAGTTCTGTAAAAATCAATATCTTTTGAAAAGTTGTCTTCAGTTCTGTAAAAGCAATCTTCAGTTCTGTAAAAATCAATATCTTTTCCCAGTCCAAGAATGAATGGATAGTTTAATGTTCTCCTCCTTTGTTCTTTTCAGGTCTTTGATTTTACTCTGGAAAAAGAAGACATGGAATTTTTAGACTCAATGAACATCAACAGAAAGCTGATTCACCTTACCTACCCTTTGTGGAAAGGATAATCTTAAACAATATACTTGCAAGTGTTAGTTACTCAGAACATGACCACTGAACTGTCCCAAGCCTTTCTCCACCAACCTGCTTAACACATTCAGAGCTGTGGCGAATAACACATGGTTGTTGAATAGTGCATGTACAAGCTTCTTATTAACAAATTATTTAGGTAATTCAATGTTCTCATCTCCAGATCTCACTAAAATACCATTTTGGAAAGTTATGAGTCATTCTTCAGTCCAACCAGATCTGAATTTTTAAAAAATTACATTGCTGAAGACCAAAGACCTCTTACAGTGTGTGGCAGGTGGAGTTTGCTGTTGGAAATTAGCAGGTCTGGTTTATTTAAGTTCTTGGTTTTTCCACACAACTAACAAAATAATTTTAGAAACGGATGCTATTAAACCATTGTAATTTAATTTTCCGGGTATCAAAATTATTTAAGCCAATACAGCATTTTTCATGGAAATGCTTCTCATTTCCATTCCTAAAAGCAATGAGTTCAATTCAGTGGTAATTTTCCACCAGCAGAAGGAAGGTTGTTTTTTGCTGACTCCTGCCCCGTCCTTCTACAGATGTCAATTCACCCTTCATGCCATTCCTGAGAGTTCCACATCCTCTGAGAGAAGCATTTCAGGGAACTCCGATGGCTGTGGCCAGAGGGGGAGGCAGGAAATTTATGTTCCTCTGAGAAAAGTGGACAATTACCTCTGGATCCAACCCAACAGGAACATTTAGCCAGGGTTCAGATATTTGTCTCTGAACAAATATCTTAGAAAAAAAGTCTCCCAGTGACTACAGTGGATGCAGATTCCCAGTTCCGCTACAAGCATTTGTGCCTCAGTGTTGCTGTTTGCGTCACAACTCGGACAATGAGAGACATGCAGCTATCACCATTTCAGTCTCACAGGAGCAGGGCTTCACCAAGCTGTATTCTGCAAAAAAGGAACAAGGGAATTCCGTACCTGATACTCTGGTTTCCTCTAGCAAAAAACAGGCAAGGTGCTGGGAAGATGAGTGAGCGACACTGCTGGGCAGGTGGCTGGGTAGAATATGGCCGTCTGTAATTGGTTTGAGAGCCCACACCAACTACAGTGACTGGGAAGCTTTTCTCCCAACAGACTGCATCGTGAACAAGCAAATGTCCGAACTGGGAAACAGACATGCATTGGCTCTTTTCTGATAGTACTTGGTGCTTCAGCATTCTGTGACAATAGCTCCTGAACAAATCTCCTGAGATCTATAGTACAATTGAAGAGTAGTATTGACATGTGTACGGTTGATCTCACATGCTGGGGCTTTTTCCATAGGTTCAGATCTCAATTTTTCTCCTGGCCATATAGAGTGCATTCACTTATTGTTTCATGTAACCGCTTCAAACCTACCATAGTTTTAGTACTCTACCACAGTCTGCCAGAGCGATCCCAGTTCACATTTCTGTTTCCCAAGTGATGCCTTGCAGTCCTCTGAACTCTCATCTGTTGAGCAACTGTACTGTATCGAAGCTCCCTCTGGAATGACCACATCTAAGCCATGGTGGTTCCAGAAACAGCTTTGAGGGGTCCCTTTCCATACTTGTTTTGTTTAAGGAATAAGCACAATTTTGCCTGCCATGACTCAGATCACTAAATCCATAAGTATAGTGGTATAGGAGAATGGAACTGTTCAAAACAAAAAGGCTGGGGAGAGGGACTGTGGAGGGGTTCGTGCATGCCTCTGGTCCTTTGAAGCACTACTCCTTTGCTTTACAGGGGAAGATGTCAGTCCGCTGCTGTAACATACAGTTTGGATCTCACAACAACAAAAGACATGTTAGTGGGAGTTTAATTCAAGAATGTGATGCCATGGTTCAAATAATTTTATCCTGCTCTTCTATCCATTACTGGATCTGCAAGGAAGCTGGAAAACAATATTGAGACCATGTAAGAAAATAGAAACAGTTCTACCAAGAATGTGAAGAATGCTTTTCACACACCAATGAAAAACTATACTTAGCCCACATACATATATATTTCATTAGAGGCAAAAGTTTCCAGAATGCAGGGAAGCCCCCACCTCCACACACCAAGACCATATGAATATGAACAGAGGAGGGGATTTCTTTTGAGACTAAAAAGGGGAAAGGGTTCCCTTGCTCGAAAGCTAGTTGAGTCCAACTCTAGGGGGCAGTGCTCATCCCGCTTCCATGCCAAAGAGCCAGTGCTGTCCAAAGACGTTTCTGTGGTCATGTGGCTGGCATGGCTAAATGCCAAGGCACACGGAATGCTGTTTGCTTTCACACCAAAGTGGTACCTATTTATCTACTTGCAATTTCTTGCTTTTGAACTACTAGGTTGGCAGGAGCTGGGCCAGAGATGGGAGCTCACTCTATCACGCGGCACTAGGGTCTTGAACTGCTGAGCTACCAATCTTCTGGTCTGCAACTCAGCACCTTAACCTCTGAGCCACTGCGGCCCCTATGGCAAATTGAATTTGAGCAGGTGTGAAATGTACCCACCAAAGCCTTGCTGAAGGATGATGGTCTAACACTGAAGAGAACCAGGAATGAGGCTGCCCTCCTTGCTTAGACCTCCATGAAACTGATGGCCAGGTTCCTATGAATAATTACGATAAAGCTGCTGCCGAACGGGGAGCCTGGATCAAGTCCCTTGTGCTGCACCTCCCTCCAGGGAGTGCAGTGGAGTTCGGGAACCCCCGGTACTCTGCTTGAGAAGGCTTGAAGCCAGCGGCACCCACGGAGCAAGTCCTGGTGCCAACCGTCTTGCCAAAGCTGCAACCCGGAATATACCAAAATTATTTTTTGTGAAGAGAACCTAGAAGTAGTCTTGGTTCTGTTTTCTATAATACATCTGTACTCCCTGTGGAATCTTGAAAATGGGTATGTTCTTTAAAAAGGAGTTAATACTTTGGTTCTTGACTCACTTTACTCCTCTCTGGGTTAAAAGTTGCATGAGTTATTCAAACCCATTGCAACCAATGGGCTTAGGCTGGTATAACTCAGGCTAGGACCAAGTGTGGCTGTTGAATTTAACCAGGGGATCATGTGAATATGATGAAGCAAACTGATGGTAGCATTATAAACTCCTTTTTAAAAAGGGGTAGGCCTTTACACTTTTAATACTTTTATACATAGTAAAGGTAAAGGTTCCCTTGCTCGAAAGCCAGTCGAATCAGACCCTAGGGTTGTGGTGCTCATCTCCATTTCAAATCCGAAGAGCCAGCACTGTCCGAAGATGTTTCTGTGGTCATGTGGCCGGCATGACTAAACACCAAGGCGCATAGAACACTTGCAATTTCTTGCTTTCGAACTGCTAGGTTGGCAGGAGCTGGAACTAGAGACGGGAGCTCACTCCGTCATGCGGCACACTTGGGTCTTGAACTGCTGAACTACCGACCCACAGCCTGCAATTCAGCGTCTTAACCACTTGAGCCACCACTCAATTTATACATACAAACTATTTAAAAGTAAGGGATGTCCACCTTCTCTTCCAGTTACTTCTACAGGAGTATTTAATGCCATCTGACTTTATCCATATGAATTTAGCTTCGTTTTTGTTTGTTTGTTTAAAGTCATGATCACATCAGGTTGAAATTTAGGCCAGAGTCTTAAAAACAAAACCTCCTATATCCCGTTACCAATTTTTTCTGGTCATTCCATCTCCTCTAATTACTCTGACGTGTCACTCACTCAAAACAGGATACATAAGAATAAGTTTCAGAAAGAAAGGAACATGTTTGTTTTCAAAGCTTATTAGCTCACTTCTTTCTGGTTGACTTTATAAATTAGCGGAATAAAATAAGGCTGCGGGTTAAAATGTGCTGCCTGCGATTGTGAGACAGTTGCCAGAGGGATATATACATATGTAAAGCTCAAATCAGTGGTTTGTTCTCTGTGCCTGCTGACAGTTGCACTTTTAACGGTTCTCTCACTGTGTCCTTCATATGACTAGTCAAAACACAAGTATTTGTGGTCCAGAGCTGATGTGTGCTTGCCAGCACAGTCTTATCTGAGTCATTCAGAAAGGGGTGTGGAGGTAATTGATACTGAGTTGTTAGCAAAAAAAATAAAAACATAATCAAGGCATGGTCTTGCAGTTTTCTGATAACACTAACTGTCGAGAAACATGCACAGGAGACCCTGTCCACTTAACAGACATTTCCAGCAGAATCCTCAGAGTTATATTATTAGCATGTGGTTATGTTAGTCCCCCATGCCTAGTTTACCCTGGTGGTTGAAGGGTGCTTGCTTTAGTGACTATCTATGGCCTGTCATGCTAGTCTTTAGGTGAGACTAGATAAGACAAATATCACACATCTCCCAGCATCTTTTAAAAGCAAATTTTAGGAATGTGCAGGTCTGATTTGGGCCAGGAACTGAAGAGTAGGATTTTCATCCTCCAATTATGCAGTTATGTCTGTTGAAATTATGTTTCCTACATCTTGGAACTCTCAACTACATATGACTCTTAAGTTCCCAGCAGAGCCCCCCCCCCCCCCCCGCCGTTCATTCATTGGGACCGTGTGCGTGTGTGTGTGTTAAAATCCTTGCTTGGGGCAGGGATTTAACACTGTCCCCATACCATGAACTCTATCCAAATCAGGTCTGTGCATGTGATTTTTTTTTGGGGGGGGGGTACCTGAAGGGGGAAAAAGTGGACACCATCTTTCTTCCTTTCGCGGCTAATAGTGGGGGCAGGGGGGGAGAACCATATGGGCATGTTAGGATTTAACTTCCTCTCTCATCTGTGGACATGCCTGAATTGTACATTTTTTCAATGCTGGGGAGGTCTGACCTTGGATCTCCTTGGATCTCATTTGTTCTGGCCTTTAATCTAAAAATTAGGTGGAGAATGCAAGGAACAGCTGGTTGAGTGAAGCTGTTTCAGAACAAGTAGTTCCTGCTTCTTTGCTTCTCACCTACTTGACCTATTTGCAAAAAAACACATTACAAAAATGAACAGCAGTATTTGTGGCACCTTAAAAATTTAACACTTTCATTCTGGCATAAGTCATAGACTAGAGCCAGCTTTCTCAGATGCAAACTGAAAGGACTTGCAGGCTGAGGGCATCTCATTTTCCCTTTCCCCATCGTTTCTTCTTTCTCTTCCCTGAAAGCTGTTACTTATTTATAGCTTGACCTGTTTTACTTCTTCCCACTCACCAGCCAATCTACCTTTATCCACCTCTGTCTTCAGCATTCCCTAGGGCTGCCAAATGTGGGCGGGGGGCGGGGAATCCCCCGCTTTGAAGCCCCGATTTCCTACGCGGCAGAATTGGGCCCCGGGGGAACCCCACCCCCGGCGTGCGCATTACTAGCAAGTGACGTGGGCACGCCGGGCATGCTGGGGGCGGGGCCACGGCCATACAAGGGAAAACTCTATGGTTTTCCCTT